AACAAAAAGAGCGTCTCAAACCGATCGCATAATAGAATACCTCCATCGGGAAACAAAATCTCGTGCAATACAGTCCTTGCAAGCCTTCCGACCGAAAGCTGCCTACTGGAACGAGGAAACTCGGCAACACAGCCCAGGGCAGCCACTCGACTCCCGAGCCGCCGACAGCGCCGCACGCGGCAAACGGGCGACGATCGCACCCGCGAGACACACGAAAGCCCCTTACCGCAGTTGAAGCCGATGAGAAGCCGACCGACGAGGAGCATTCATCCGATTTACTCGCATACAAAGCAGTTAATAGGCTTCCGCCGTGAAAGTTTTAACAGTCCATGTGGGAGCATTCAAAGAGCGTAGAGTTTCTGTAGGAGGTGTCGTGATCCCCGAGTGGAGTATGCCTTTTCGTCCGTCAGGTCTGAACACGTCCCTCGCCCCCATGTACATCTCGGAGATCGCCCCGCTGAACCTCCGAGGGGGGCTCGGGGTGGTGAACCAGCTGGCGGTCACCGTGGGGCTGCTGCTCTCGATGGTCTTGGGGATCGAGCAGTTGCTCGGCACGGGGGAGTATTGGCCTTATCTCTTTGGTGAGTTCGAGGGTGGGGGTGGGGGTGGGGGTGAGCTGGGGGTGAGGGGGTGCGTGATCGGGTCGCTCTTGGGGTAGGGATGGCGGTGGTGCCCGCGGTGCTGCAGATGGTGTTGCTGTTCGTCTGCCCCGAGTCGCCCAGGTATCTACTGATCTCGAAGCAGAGAGAAGAGGACGCTCGGAAGGGTGAGTCGCGTGCCGTGTCCGCTGTGGTCGATCGGGATCGGTCGGAATGAGGGGTTTCCGTGCAGCCCTGCGTCGCCTGCGGAACTCCCCGCACATCGAGGCGGACGTGGAGGAGATGAAGGCGGAGGACCGGGCGCAGCAGGTGGAGGCGTCCGTCACCATGTGCGAGTTGCTGTCCATCAAGAGCCTGAGGATGCCGCTGCTCATCGGGGTGGTGATGCAGCTGTCGCAGCAGCTGTCTGGGATCAACGTCGTGAGTGGAGGGGAGGGGGTGGAGGACGGAGGGTGGAGGATGGAGGATGGAGGGTGGAGGATGGAGGATGGGGATGTCAGCGGGGGTTTTCCTTCTGCAGGTTTTCTACTACTCGACGGGGTTCTTCAAGGCGGCGGGGCTGGAGGACGACATCGCGAAGTACTCGACCATCGGGGTGGGGATCGTGATGGTCTTGATGACGCTCGTGTCCATTCCGCTCATGGATCGGGCGGGGCGGAAGACGCTGCATCTCTACGGTCTGGGGGGGATGTTCATCTTCTCCATTTTCATCACCATATCGCTTCTCGTCAGGGTGAGGATGCGCTCCGCGCGGTCGTGCTACGATCTCGGGTCGGCCTCGGTGCAATTGTTTTTTTTTTTCTTTCAATCAGGCAATGATATCGTGGATCAACTATCTGTCGGTGGTGTCCACGCTGAGTTTCGTCGTGTTCTTCGCCGTCGGCCCGGGGTCCATACCGTGGATGATCACCGCCGAGCTGTTCAGCACCGGGCCGCGCCCTGCCGCCATGTCCATCGCCGTTCTCGTCAATTGGCTGGCCAACTTCGTCGTCGCCATCGGGTCTGGGCGCTTGCAGGTGAGAGCCTTTCTGCATGCGTGGTGGGACCCTTTACCATTTTTTAAATTTACTTTTTTAGCTCAGATTTTGATTCGAGGAAGAGGGATATTTATGCAGTGATGTTCTTTTTTTATTGTAGGAACTGCTTGGGGATTACAATTTCCTGCCATTCAGTGTCCTCCTTGCTATCTTCTGGATTTTCACCAAGAAGATGGTTCCGGAGACGAAGAACAAGACCTTCGAAGAGATTTCCCAAATGTTCAGATCTGGACACCACAGGTTCGAAAAAGTCCTGAAACTCACCCCCCCTTTTCTGGTAACATTGCGATAACGACTCGTGCCGGGTAGAAAATTGAGCGCCGGAGAGACCCTTCCCTCTTGGGCTCGCGATGGAACCAAGATGGATCCACCGCGTGCGGTTTAGGTCTTGGTGTGGGACAGGACAGCGATCGATTCTTGATCTTCAGCATGGGGGTTGCAGGTAGTCAAAAGCGTAAACGTGTCCTTAATGCAACCTTTAGCGAATTTCATAAACGAAAAAAAAAACAGCAAAGAATTCTGCACTTTCTCCTGTTCGCACCCACACTCGATCACCCCACGGTTCATTCCAAATTGACAGACACCTGCACCATCACGGCAAGATTCAGCCTTTACCCCCCCCCCCCCCCCCCCCCCCCCCCCCCCCCCCCGCCCCCCCCCC